TGTGTGTGTGTGTGTGTGTGTGTGTGTGTGTGTGTGTTTTACCAGGCCAATATTTTCCATTGTTTGAGCTACTTTCTCCCAGCTGAAGACAAGTTTGTTCCTCTAAAAAATGTCCCCTCATTGTTTCTGGGAGTCCCCAAGAAATGCCCCTCCTGGGCCTACCCTCTTGTTTTTCAGTTACATCCATCATCCATCCCCACTTTCTTTCCCACTCTCAGGCTTACTTGTTTCTGCCTAAGACAGATGCCCTCCATTGCCTTTTCTGAGAATGCCAGCTTTTCATGCTTAAAACAAACATTAACTGAACATTAAAACGTGCCAGATGCTCTGCTAGGACTCTGTGAAACTTGTGGTCTGTGTGCTTGTGCTGCTATCTCCAGACACTTGCCCAGAGCTTCTTGGGGTAGGACAGTAGAGCTACAGCCCACACAAGGGAAGAATGTCCTCTCCCCAGTCTGATGACCCCCTGTTGATGACAGCACTTTAAAGCAGCTTGGCACCTGCCCTCCCACTCATAGAAGTTTCTTTCAAATAGCCTCCAACTCTAGCAAAACAAGGAAGATTTGAAATATAGGTTTTCCTGGTTTAGTCCATCAAAGACTCTAAGATGTTAGGATGAGATTTGTCACCTTTTGAGCTGCAGGCACCATCCTGGGAAGCCATCTATGTGAGAAGAACACTTATCCCCAAAGCTCTGCCTGGAAGCGGCACATCCCTGCAGTAGGGCAGTGGGAGGTCCACTTCTCTGACCCACATCAATCAAGATGAAATGTTTTACATCTGGAAGTACCAGGTTCTATCAGTCTTCATTGTCCCAGTCTCCGTGCTGCAACCTCCCGTTTGACAGCATCAAAAACCAAGAAGGTAGCAGTGATAAATTTCTTGGAATCTTCTACCATCTCCCAGTGACATCCCAATGCAAGTCCCAACCTCTGGCTGTTGGCCATTTCATTCTGTCAACATATGGCATCTGAGCCACCATAATGCCCTTGGTTCCTGCTCCCAGGGACAAAGGTGGGCGCACTTCATAGAAGGAGGTAATGAAGACAGAACCTTCTGCTGATGGACCACTGGGAAGTGGGGCTCACCACTGTTTATAAACAGGAGAGTTCCTAATTCCACTGTAACTCCACTGAAGCTTGGGTTATGCATTTTATGTTTTGGAGGATTATTTTGTTGGTACTTGAGAACCCTGAAGAAGAAACTGCCATTTTAAAAACTTATCAAATGTACTCACAGGCCAGCAGACGGCTTGTATTTTCTATCAGCTCCAAGTGAAGAAGCACTTTTCTTTCAGCCACGCTCCAAACGCTCCTGCCACTTCCACACATGCCTCATTAATATGGATGAAGGGCTTAGTCCCACCGTAGGGCTTCTTGTAAAAAGTTGCTGCAGAGAGGTTCCCCCCTTTAGCGAATCCTTCTCTTCTGTCTGCGATTGGAGAGTGAGCCATATAACTGACAGCGGAAAGCGCTAGAGGGCATGTTACATAAAAAAGATAAATAGAAGAGGTCCTTTTGCATATCTTTTTAATTGGAAGGAAATGTAGGCTTTTGAGTGACAATATTTGCTACCTTTCCTAAATATAGCACCTTAAAAAAAAATCCAGAGGGCTAACAGGCATCTGGAAAAGCATACAGATGTCGACTCTGTGGTACAGAACATGTGTCCTGGGATGAGCTATTTCACCTCTCTGATATACGTCGGCCCCATCTTGAACTTGAAGAGCACTGGGTTGTTGAAGAATTGATTGTGGTGATGTGTGGGTTTCCTGAGAAATACGGTTCTCTTCCTCCTCCCCTCTTTAAAGGTTAGAAAGGGAAAGCACACCCAGGACGGAGAAGTTGCCATTGACCTCTGTGACTCTTGCGCACAGATCTCTGGGCAGAAGTGTTTCCTAAATGGGCCATGGAAGGAAGATCTGTGCCTCTTTCGCTTTAGTGCCTTCCTTGCCCCCGCCTTCTCAGCACCGTACTTCTTACAGTCTGCTTTGTAGTGTGTGTGTGAGGGTACAGGGAGGGGGCATTTCACATTGGCTAAATGTCAAGTCGAATTCAGTGCCCCTGTTGGTGTCTGCAGAAACTTTGCTTGGGCGGGCTCCACTCTGTGGAGTGTTCTTCTGTCATTTTTAAGCGGAGAACAGCAAAGATGCAAATTGCCCAGACAGCTCCAGGAGACAAAGAGACAATTCAGGTGGGCAAGTGTGCAGAGAGGGAGGAGGGCAGAGGGTGGGGGGCCAAGGGCTTGTGAGGCTGCCTGACCTTAGGACACTTGTTCCTGGAGGAGGGCAATGAAGCCAGCGCACATTCTTTGGGTCCTTTCTTCCCCGTTCGTTAGCAGATTTATTAGGCTTCTTAAGGGAATACTGGCGGGCCCTTCAGACTCCAGGCACCTTGGGATTCTTCCCTTGCCAGGATCCCTTGAGGACTCTGAGAATAGACTCTTAGACGTGCAGAGATGAATAACATCTTTGCTGACGGTGGCAGGAATAGGACATAGGACATTACACAGGTAGCTAAAAATTATAATTGCCTGGTGGCTCAAACAGCCTCTCCCCACGTTCCTCCTTTGTCCCTCCCAGGCTCCGCCTCTTCCTGAACCTGATTGTGCTTCCTAAGAGAAATCCCCCACCCGTCAGGATGCTCCAGAGTGCAGGCCCTGCCCTGCCCTGAGCTTGGCTGCTCCTTCACCTGACCTCAAACACAGGCCCTCTGCCAGGAGGTCTTTGATTCTGGAAGAGGCAGAGCATTGTGCTGTACCAAGATCTGGGTTCTAGTCCCAGCCCTCGTGGATGCTGTGACTGTGGGCAAATCACTCTCCTCCTGGGGGCCTGGGAGACCTCTGCTGTAAAATAAGGGGGCTGGACAAGGGGGTCATTGAAGTCCACTCCCACTCTGATAGTCTCAAACTTAGTGGCTCTAATTGCCTCCTTAGAACTCCAGGGAATGCCGTTCTAGCAACTGTCCTCTGGCTCCTTTCTTCCCCACTCCCACTGGGCTCTGCCTCCAAGGAAACAAAAGCAGCTGCTGCCTCCGCTGGGGTTTCCTCTGAATCTGTGGGCTCCTCTCCACAGCACATGTGCACAGGCCTTCTCTGTCTCTCTCTGGGGGCCGTGGAAGGCCAGTGGTGACCCTTTTGAGCCCGGCTCTTTTCTGCTGCTTTGGCTGGCATAGACGGCCTCTATCCCAGGTGAGATTAAACTTTCGCTTATTAGTTCCCGCCCCACACCTGGATTTAGCGAGGGTACTTTATAAATAACCATGTGTGTGTTGTTGCTATGATTAAAGTGCTCAGAATCTAAGACAAAGCTGAACCAGCTCAGCTGCAAATACAGTGAGTGGAGGGAGCACGCTGATCTCATGTAACTGCACTGGGAGAAAAACAAATTCAGGAATTCCACAGCTGCCCTTTAGAGATGGCCTCTAAACAGCCAGGATAGCTTGTTTCCTGTATTTTAAGAACTAGGCACAAATGGAGTTGATAGCATGGTTTAAAATTTAGTCAAAGGAGCTGGCTCAATGAGTCTTCTACAGAAGTCATAATAAGTCGAGTAGCATGCAGTGTTTCTTCTGGCCAAGAGGCTGGAGATGTGGGTGAGCCTGGGAGAAGGTGGGGTCTAGTTAGAGACCAAAGAAACCAATGAGCAAATGAATCCAGAGCAGCAGAGGTCTAAAAATAGAGACTGAGGAGAGGGTCAAGAAAATGTTGGGAGATCTTCGCAGATTGGGACTGGAGACTGTGGCCCCAGCAGACAGGAGATGCTGCAGTGACTTCTAGTCCCAGAGAAGAGCAATTGTTTCCTATCTTTAACTTCCCTGTAGAGCGGGGCTGGGCGGGGGGAGTGGTCACGGATGGTAAGTTTGTGTTCAAGCTAGGGCTTTGTGAGTATGAGTTATTTCTGATTTATTCAGAGGTCTCCATTCGTCCATGTCAGGTGAACTTAAAGAGTGTGAGTTAAACAAAATGGGTTCAAATCCCAGGTCTGCCCACTTCATCCTTGTTACCCTGTACCTCAATGTCCTCCTCTATAAATTGGGAACAATGATAGCAATTGCCTTATAGAGTGGTTAGGAGAGTTACAAGTGCCCAAAATATTCCTCAAACATTGGGGGAATCAATAAATGCCAAATACTATTATTTTGCTATCTACTGTGATCTCTAATAAGAGCCAGAGGATAGAAAGACACTTGAGCTAGTTTGGATGTGTCAGGGTTGCCTGGAGGACAGTTGGGATTCATCCCCAGAGTTTCTGATTTCCTAGATGTGAGATATGGTCAGTAGAACCACTGCTCCAGCCTATATACAAGACGAGTGCAAATGAGACCGTTATTTATTTAATAACAAACACCTCTCCTGTGCCCGACTTTGCACATACACACAACACAGGTGTTATTAATATTGACTCATTTACTCCTTATGAAACCCTATGAGATAGGTTCTAGTGTGGTCACTTTAGAGATGAGAAGACCAAGGCACAGAGAGATCAAGTCATTTGCCAGGACACCCTTTGGTAGAAAGGACTGTGTTATAAAACCAGGTAAGTGCCACAAAAGAGGCACAACCTGCGAGAGGAGACACACAGACTCTAGGGTTCTCTGGAGATGTGTGCAGCCTCACATGTGGGGTTGCCTGCAGTAGACCTCATGCTGGCTTGGGTCCTTGACAGAGCCTCCGGTTAAGGAGCCGTAGGTGCAGTGAAAGGAGCAGAGACTCCGGAGGCAGAGGAGGGTTGGAATCCTGTCACTGCTCCGTGCCAGCTCTGCAGCCATTAGCAGGGGAACTGTCTCCTATGGCCTTTTCCTCACCTAAAAGAAGAGGATAAAAACCATGAGAATAACCAAACCTAACCAGCAGGGCTCCCTCAAGAACCAGCCAAGGGGTCTCATATGTAGGTCCTTGGAAGATAACAGATGCTCATGGAAGATTAGTTGCTTTCCTGCTTTCTCAGTTCACTGAATCCTCATCTTGTTGTGCCATGAGTAATGACTTTTGCTTGATGTAGACTAATTTCACCCAGATTACCTGCTCCTCTACCTGATTTCAGTTTCTCATTATAATTAGAAAATACTTTAGGTCATTTATTCTTGGCTGTGCATCCAAGCCACCTGCGGATTTAAATATACATACGTGTGTGTGTGTGTGTGTGTGTGTGTGTGTAGGCATCCTGTGGTAGATTGGACTATTCTACACAAATGTTCACTTTTTCCTACTAATTCCCACGGAAATTGCATGTTTCCTCCCTTTGATATTAGCAGAGGCTTTGTTGGGGCCAACTGGGTGTTAACAGACATTGTCACCAAAACAGCACTGGACAAGACAACATAGAGAAGAAAAGATTAATGGCTCATGGTTTCAGAAGATTCCATCCATGGTTGTGTGGCAGAAACATCATGGCAGAAGGGCACAGGAAAAGAAAGCCGATCAGCTCACGGCAGCAGAGAAGGATGGGGGAGGGAGAGGGAGAGAGGGAGAGAAAGGAAGACAGATATAGTCCCTGAGGCCATGTCTTCATTATGTACTTCTTCCAGGCATGCCTCACCATGCCTAATTACCATCCCATAGTAATTCAAATTATTAATACATCAAATGCTTTAATGCATTGGTGAGGCCAGAACTCTCCTGATCCAGTCATTCCCTAAAAGTCCCATCTCTGAACCTGGCCGAGTTGGGGTCTATGCTTTCAATGCACTAGATTTTGGAAGGACATTTTAGATCCAAATCATAACAAGGTAGGAGAGTCATGAAATGAGCCTGTGAGGTCAATCTGGTTCTTTTGCACCTCTGATGCAGCCATCAGATGTTCCCCATTGAGAATTCTGGTCCCTGAGGTGAGATAGGAGGCACATGGAGCCCATATGCCCCCATGGAGCCCAGTTTCCATCAAGCAACCCCCAACTGACACCCAGATGTGATTGAGTAAGCCAAGGTCACCATTTCCCATGAGACTACAGGTTTGTGTCCTTAATGAGAACGTTGTGGTTCTTTTTTTCAGGGCCTGATTCTGACTCCATCTCTTATTCTGAGTAATAGGCTTAGGGCCCAGAAATCTGAATTTCTAAAAGCTTCCCCTGGTGATGCTGATATTCAGCTAGATTTGGAGGCCACTGATCTCATCTAATCCCCTTTTAGAGGGAAAAGCTAAGACCCAGAGAATAAAGTGACTTGCCCAAAGTCTCAATACATGGAAGGGTTAGTATTAGAATCCTTGACACTTTAATACTCTTTACTGTATCATACTGTTCCCATAAAAAATTAACATGGTAGAATAAATTCTTCACATCTCCATAACTTAAGATGCTCTGGGCAGAGTGTTTCCACCCCATACTGATATCAACCCTTTGAAACCCGCTGATGAAAGGAAATATGCAGCAGAAAGAGTATATTGACTTTGGTTGTAATTGCATTGACTGTGCCAAATGACTCAGCTCCAGGTAAAAACGTGGTCAGTAGACCATGCGCTTTAGAGGGAATTTAAAGTACAGTATTCTTTTTCAACTTGGGAAAGTTTATGCGATTTCTAGGCAATTATTTCCTGTAAGAATAAAAGTATGAGTTACTCTTTCATCCTCTTCCTCTTGCTGAAGCTCCTCCTCATTAGTGGTCTCCTTCCTCTTGAGCTGCAGTAATACCCTCAAAGTACTGAATCTATTACAGCTGACGCTCGTCTTGCAGACCTGACAGAAATACAGATTGGCAAACTGAAATGTCTATCTCGATTCAGACTCAGAGTCTCAGATGTGGGGTAATATTCACTGAGCACCTGCTATGTGCCCAGTGCTATGCAAATTGCTTTCACATGCACTATTTCATTAAAAGCACAGGAATTGACAAGGAGGGGGTGGATATATGCAGACTGTGTAGAAAGAGAGAAAAGAGACACTCATGGCTTGAGGCCATTACTGCAAACGCTGTGACATCTCTCTATTTACCCACACTCTCCTCCTGTTCAATCTCCCTCAGTTGTGAAGCAGGGAAGACTCTCCCCCGCCCAGTTTCACCCTCTAGCCTAAACATCACCTTTCCCCTACTCTGTTGATTATTTCAGAGATGACTTAAAGTCGTAAAGCCAGACAAGATGCTAAATGTTTCTCGCCAGAACCAGGCAGGAACAGGGCTCTTTCATGGCCCAAGTCTCTTTTTGCTGCCCATGTGGGTCAGTCCGGTGTCTCTCAGATCTTCTTGCCATTTGTCCCTCCCCTGTACCATCTCTCCTACCCAGCTTTAAGAATGCCATAGTCCAAGATCTGAGGGGTGTCATTCCTGTAGATTTCCGTGCTGAAAACCTTCCCTGAGCTTCCTTTGCTAGATTGCTGGTCTCCCGAAAACCCCCTCCACTCTGCTCTGGACAATGCCTTCACTCACTCCTGACTCTCCTGCTCTTTCTTCTTGACCGGGACTATAGTGTGGGACTATGCACACATGCACCGCCCCTACACCCCCACACCCCCACACATGCCAAGGTAATCTCTCAGGCCTTTCCTCAGGCTTTCTCCACACCTCCAGGGAAGAGAGACTCTGGCTCTATGTTCACATGGGTGTGATACAGTAGGGAGTGGTGAGGAACATGACCAAGTGGAGAGGGCACACCAGGTCTAACAGACACTATGTGGCCCTTGTCACTGAAGGCCACCATGCTGTGGTGTAGCTTAATGTTGACATATCTTCTGAATTTTCAGAAGCAAGAATTTTATGTGAAATCTCTAGACTTTTCATGGTGTGGAAGTTAATTAAGACAAAAACAAAATAAAACATCTTTCTGCAGCAAATAAGACAAATTCTGCTCTGTGTCTTTTGCCTGTTCATCCCATGAATGAATGAAAAGGAACATTGTAGCATCTTACCCTTGGAAGTGAACTTGAATTCATATGGTCAAATTTTCTGCCCCAAACGATAATTCTTTCAATAGTAACTCTCACAGGTTAATAGTTATATTGATTCACTGCTGTATTATAATAAATTTCCCCAAAATCCTATGGTTTAAAACAACAACTATTTATTCTCATACCTGAGTTTGCAGGTTGGCGAGGTCACTCTGCTTCACATGTCACAGCTTCCTCTTGGGATCTGTGGGCTAATAAGAAATATTGTTCTAATAGATGTCAGAAATACAAGAGAGCATAGCCAACCATGCACACACCTTTCAGGAACAACTGGAAGTCTTACCTACTTCTTACCACTTACTTTACATCTTACCCACTTCTGATTGGTCAAATAAAGTCACATGATTAGGCCCAAATTCAAGAGGCTAGTTCTATCCACTACCAGGCCATCACAAGAAGGCAGATGGGGTGTGGGCTGAAGATCTTGGTCTGATCATTAATTCTGCTGTACTTGGTGCATGTTCTTAATGAAAAGCACGTTTTCCTAGTTAGCCTGTAATTGAGAACTCCAACACTAGCTTTTACTAGATTTTATCTGTATCCATGCTTCTTGTAGAACATAGCAGCATCTTTCCTTGGAATGTCAAGGACACTTCCTAGCTCAACTGATTTGTCTCCCTGTTTGTTAGAACTGACACCTACACATGATAGCTACCGTTTATTCAGCACCTACTAATTTTCAGATACTGTACCTGGTGTTTTATATATTGCTTCTAAACCTTGCAACTAGCCCTCAAGGTAGGTATTATTAATTCTATTTATACTTGAGAAAAGTGAAAATCAGAGAGGTTAACGTACCCCAAATGACATCACTTGAAAAATGGCAGAGCCTGATTCCAATCCATCCGTTTGACTCCAGGGCCCCTATACCACATATCATCAGTTTCACATGTTCTCTTCTTTTTTAAGAAGAGAAGGGTGGCTGTGCATGAATTTTAGAAAATCAGTCTACAATTGACCAAGAGTTGAGCACTCAGACGTTATGTGTCTAGTATGTGTGATATGTGTTCTAGTTTCAGATCCTCATTGAATTCTCTATACCCAGTAGGTGTTTAATTAAAGTTAATATTTCTAAATGAGTGTCTATGTTTTAAAGATTGTATTGCCTGATGAGTTATTTTTTTCCTGTGCTCCAGTTGCGATATTGTTCTTTCTAAACGTGTGCCAATTTTCAATGTGTTGGCTTTTAGCTCCAAATTCAGTCCTCACTTTGTGTTCTGTAAGAATAGGTGGGACACTGAGCATTTAGCTTTTTATGCTGACCATGATGCTAACTTTTGCCAGTGGAAGGCATGGGAGGAATACTGTAGTGGAGGGGGCTTCTCTTGGACTCTGGTGCACCATCTTTGCCTTCTGATTTCTGATGGGTATTCCATCAGAGGTGCACAAGCGAGGTGGGGCTGCAGGTGGGGGTTGGATAGCTGGTAGTTTTTTTCTCCCAGTCATGTTCCCAGAACATGCAGTCCATTGGTCACCTGCAGTCCCAGCTTCACCAGATGACCACTTTGCCATGGTCCTCCCTACAGAACACTGCCCACCTGAGGCCTCATGCCTGCAGCTGTGCCCCATGTAATTCAGTGTGCCCACTCTCAGCATGAACTAACCCACTCCCTGGAAGTTTGTTTCTGCTTGTTCCACAATCATCTGGCCAGGGGAGCCCAGCAAACTTTCCAGATTTCTGTTGTTTCCAGTGAGTTCTGATCTCTAGCTATTGATCCTCTCTAGCATTGATCCCTTAGTGGTAAGGTAACCCTGAGAGTGCTCTTTATATCTTTGTATTTACTGCCCTATCATAGCTTAATATTTCTTGATATTAAGCTTCCTTTGTTTAAATTGCCTTGTGATTTTTTTTGTCTTTTGGTTAAATCCAGACTGATACATAGCTTGAGTCTAAACCTACCTCTCGGTAAATTAGATATTTTATTTTTATTTTATTTGGATCTACATACACTATATTTGCTTCCTTTCCTACTAACATGCTATTTGGTACTTGAGAGATGCTTACTGAGGTGCCTTGAGACCACATGCGGCCTGGACAGATGTGCACTTGCAAAGCCCTTTAACTTGCAGACATTGTGTGAACGAGACCGTTGCTTCTCAACATGCTATCTGTGGTAAACAACCATTTTTAAAAATTTAATTTCTAAATCTTTCATAAACCAGCACTTTTGTAAAACATCATAAAAATGAAGTATTAAAAAAGGAAATTTTAAGAAGACATAAACATAACAGCTCAATTTCTTTCTTGTTAGTATTAGTTTCAACAGACATATAATTACTCTATTAAACTGCTGTAAAAGTTTCTAAGTGTTCACCCCCAATGGCTGTACCTTTGTTGCTGTGTCCTGGTAACACGGTATGTGGACCACACCTTGAAAAACCCTTCTCTGAGCTCTTTCACCAAAGCTAGGAATCACACTGAGTCCTATACTCTGATTCTCAAATATAATCCTCTCATTAGACCTTGCTTGCATTTGAGGGGTTCACTTTACTCTTCTAGGACATGGTGACAGGACTCTTATCCCCTGATCCCATCCAAATGCTTTCTCCATTCATCACATGCTCCTACTTGGCACTCCTTCCTTGTTTCCACCCTAGTTGATTGCAGTAATTTTGGTTTCTGTTTTATAACCAAAGTCCTTCTTCCAATTATCAGGAAATAGTAGCTGTGGCAATAAAGTGGCCCTCTATTTCCCTGGGCTCTAGGCCCTTGAATTCATAAATAGATGCAGGACCATTCTCCCTTGCCCACTCCATCCTCCATGTTTGCAGCTAAGAGCCAGAGGTAAGGGTCATTTGCATGTGTGACTTGTCTTGATAGCATGGGTTGCACCCCCAGGTAGAGCCAAAATCCATGCGTCAAAGCTCGACTTCGGCTCACCAGCCAGGAAAATACAAATGGACTGGCGGTGGCGTCCAGCACAAACACCATAATTGTAGCTTTGAATGTTGAAATGGAACTGGGATATAGTGCCCAATCTCCCTGTCCTTCCATTCCAATGTGGGCTCAGCATCCCCTGCCTCTTAATTATTATCATTATATGAGTCTATCTAAAGCTGTATTTGTAAATTTCTTTGTAATCCAGAGAAATTCCACCGAGTTTGTTTCCCCATCTTTTCTCTGGGTTTATGTCCTGCCTTCCCAGCTTAGTTTGTCAGCCAAAGACTTATTCTGTATTCTGCGCAGCTCATTCCATTGTTGGTGCTCACTAGATTGTAATAGAAACGCCATGCCACCGAACTGTGAGTCGAAGCTGTATTACAATGATACTGCCCCAATTTTACAGATGCTGCTCAGTGCCAGGGAGCTTTAATAAAATGCTCAAGGTCACAGAGCAAATCCAATGTAGAATCGGGGGTGGGACCAGCTGTTGTGAATCCGGAGCCCACATCTCTTTTCATTGTATCAGGCTGCCTCTCAAAACCATGAGAGATACTCTTATCAGTGTTGTTTGGTGGGTGTTCAGTTCACTGCAGTCGATATTGTCAAATGAAATCTTCAAATGCCAGAAGTATGCTGTCAGACACTCTTCACCTTTATGAACTCTAGCGTTATAAGCAGCAGTAGCACAGATGAAACCAGGAAATCTATAGCCACCGTTAATGCTGGTTGTTAAAAGGATGTCTGCTTGTAAGTTGTTCTTGGGTGACAATGATCATTGCTGGCATTCATTAAAACAGCAGTGACAAAAACAACAAAAACCACAACCCACTAGAAACAAAATCTAAGCTACAGGAAAGATGGCTCATGGCTCCTATACAGAACCCGGAAACCATATCCTAAATGACCCAATAATTCATTCTAAAGAAATGATGATGCTGAATATGTTTTTTTTTTTCCAAACCCTACTCCGAATCCTCCTCCCTTTTCTCCTTCCCTCCTTCCCAGGGTATTCTGACCACTTCTTGCCCTCCCTCCATGGCCTATTCACTGGTTTCTAGTCAAGAACAGTTAAAATAGAAGTATAGAGAGCTGGATTAAACCTGATATAATGTAAATTGCCAGCATGTATCTGAGACATTTAAAAATATTCTGTATTTCCTTGGAGCAAACACTGTGATGGATATTTTACCTAAAGTCATCTAGTTCTTATATCAGTGTTGCAAACTCAATTTTATTCTCTTCATTTTGTAGATGAGAAAACAGAATCTCAGAGAAGGTAACTCGTGATCTACGTGGTGAGTGACTGGGTTTCAAACTTGAGTCTTTCTGGCTTTAAACATTGTCTTCCTTGAGCTTCCCTTTTTAACTTTCCCTTTAAGAAACAGTAAGTTACTTTAACTATTGATGGCAGTTAATTTATTCATCTTCAATACCAACTGTTGGTGCATGGCTATGTGAATTGGCAAAAAAAAAAAGTACACAAATCCTAGACCAAAAGCAAACAATTTAGAACATTAAAAATATACCTATTTTTAATGGGTACATTAAAATCAGTATTCTGTCTTTGATTTATGGTTTATCAGCTTTGAACCAAAGTCAAAGGGAAATGATGTGAAAGGTATCACAAATTGTCTAGCATTTGGGTAACTTGTTATTCTTCACTTTAACACTGACTTTTGGAGCATGAGAAGGAATATGGACTGGGGAGAATGAGATTTTCTCTGTGATATTTCAAAGTTTACTTTCTTTTCTCAACCCCCAAATCCATGATATAGGGAACACCAAATTTATTTATTTATTTATTTATTTTACTAAATTAGTAAAAAACAATATTAGTAGAGCAGATTGTCCATGAGGTTGGTGGATGTTCATGATATCCATGGCTAATTTGAGGTACTGTAGAAATAAGCTCGTATTTATTTAATATGTTTAGTTCCTTTTTTTTTTTTTGGTACCAGAGATTGAACCCAGGGGCAGGTAACTCTGAGTCACATCCCAACCCCCCCATTTTTTTGTATTTTATTTAGAGATGGGATCTTGTTAAATTGCTTAGGGCCTCACTAAGTTGCTGAGGTTGGCTTTGAACTTGTGATATTCCTGAGTGTCCCAAGTCACTAGGATTACTGGCATGTGCCCAGCTGTTTTTTTTTTTTCTTTATTTCTAGGTCATTCCAAAGGCTTATTCATAGAATTTGTTGATGTTTAATTCATTCAGAATTGATAGGCAGCAGTTAATGGCTTCATTTTACAGATGGCAAGACTGAGGCAGACGGGCACCTTTGAAGACCTGCCAGGGGAAAGCAGTCGAGGAGGGGGAATGTCTCCAGAACCTGGAACTTCCGATTCTTCAGGTCGGTCAACTTAACAACACATTACACATTCAGGCATTGCCCGTATTCTCTTCATTGCAGCCATTTTAACGTCATAACAGATTTCTGACTGAACAATATCAAAGTACCATTCCAAGAGTGTCTCGTAATTGAAGGCCAACACAGAGCAAAGTACACTATGCTCAGTCAGCAATGAATATACAAGAAAGGGTGTTCTAAATGACATCAAGCAGGGTTTTAGCTCCTGTGAAGACCCCCAGGGAGATATGAGACATGATCCCACTTTCAAAAATACTCAAGGGTCTGATTTGAGAAACTAAATTTCGCTCTGACTAAGTAATCGCAGCACCAAGGATGTAAGGTGACAGAAATAACAAGGGGGTCAAGGGGCAGGGAGACTGACCGGAAGCTAAAGAGTCCATAAAAGACAGAGCTGTTGAATCTTGAAGGACAGATGTGTTTCAACAAGGACAAAAGGAGAACAAGAAAGAACATGGCTTGCAACTTTTGCGCCGTCCTTTCTAGTAGGCAACGTGCTTCCGCCATCATCATGGGATTGATCCACACAGTCACTCAGCAAGAGGTGGCTTTATGATCCTCGGTTAACTACTGAGAAGCCAGAAGCCCAGAGAAGTTAAACAGGCTTTCTAAGATGACACAGCTCATCAGAGGGAGAGCTTAGAGCCAAACCTGCATCTGATGTGTGTTCCTGGTGCCAGATTCCAAAAGGGGAGGAAAACAATCAGAGGGGAATTGATTTTTTGTTTTAGACCAGGGGTAACATATGGTGAAATGGGGTAGGGGAGCATTGGAGGCACAGGACATGGGATGGGCTGGGTCCTCCCCCAGCCACAGAGGACTTGGGCTATCTGTCACATGTGCACCATGCTTGTGGCACTTGGTCCTTTCTGGCCTGAGCCCTCAATTCTGAGCTCCTGGAGGGCAGGGCTTTACCTTGCTCTCAGTCAGAAGCGCACTGCTCCTGGAGGAGGTGCTGAGAACAATGTTTTGAATGGATGAATATGTAGCTGTGGCTTTGATCTTGGCACGGGGTTATGATAATTTGGTAAAAACAGTAGAATCAGAGCAAAGGCGAATCCAAGGGAAACAGTGAAGTAAGGAGAAGATTGTCAAGGAGCCCACAGGGATGACTGAAACCCTACCACATTCCATGTCCTCACCCAGATGTGGGGGATACAATGGCTCTTTATGAGTATTGTGCATTAAACTGAACACATGCATTTACACATTTTATATTTCTATAACTAAATGGAAAAAAATGAAAGGAGGAAAAAATGGATAATTTTGGTGTCAACTTCAGTTTTATCAGTGAGACTCATTCTAGTTGTTTTTTTTTCTTCCTTTCCTCATTTTTAAGTAAGACCTTCTTAAAGAACAGTCCCAGGCTGGGGATATGGCTCAAATGGTAGCTCGCTCACCTGGCGTGCGTGCGGCCCGGGTTCGATCCTCAGCACCACATACAAACAAAGATGTTGTGTCTGCCGAAAATTGAAAAATAAATATTGAAATTCTCTCTCTCTCTCTCCCTCCCTCCCTCCCTAAAAATAAATAAAGAAAGAAAGAACAGTCCCATGCCAGAAATGGGGCGCACAGAGGTGCTCAGTGGCAGAGGCGACAGGTCAATTTTAGGCATTGCTGGGAGCTCTGTAATGGCAGATGAAGCACTGGAGCCACTTCTCTATCCTGGGAAGACCCTTGTTTCCTTTGCTGCTAGGCCCCATGTCCTGGGGATTTGACTGACTTCCCATTCTTCTTTCAAGGGTTAGCCCCTGCATGATGGTAAAGGGATGTGCCTCACCCCCCCAAAAAAAAATTTGGCAGCCAGATGATTCTTTTTCTCCATTATCCTCATTCATTTCCTCCAAAATAAAATTACAATGGCTTTCACTTAGAGATTTTACTGCTAACCTCTGTGAGATTGTAGATAAGGATTTGCGAATGGAGAATTACAAAGTGTGTATAATAAAATTCTGTGAATAATGGTCCCAAATCAGGATTTCTACTCCATTTCCTGGATGGTACTCAGAAGTCCTAGGAGGTTTTCTTAGAAGATTCTAAATGATGCGTAAGTTCTTCATCCATACAACCAATCCTGGCTGTGTGCTTATGATGTATCAGGAAGTTCTCTAAATATATTACTGATATTACCTCATTTAAACCTCAAAACAGTTCTTCAGACATGTACACCATTCTCATTTTACAGATGAAGAAACTGAGGAATGGAAAATGTAAAGACTGCATCTCAGGTCACTTAACTGCTAAGTGGTAAAGCTAAGACTTAAAGCCAGGCAGCCAGATCTCAGAGCCCATGCCTACCTGTCTTTTAGAGTGTACATGGCTCAGACATAGCCCACGAAGGGCTGAGGCAGGAGCTGCTCTAGGTTTGTGGAATCTGGCTGTTTTTCTGAGTCTTATGTTCCAAGGATGGACCACTTGGGCTCAGGTGGCATTCCTGTCTTTGGACATTCCTCTCCTGTGTTCTTGGTTGTTGTACAACTGCATCAAAGATGCTCTCTTGACCTCTCTTCTGGCTACAACCCAGAAACCCATCTCTTATCCTAGGTTCTGTCTGACATAGGAAATCCCTTCCCTATAAAGTTTTCACAGAATCTTCCCCTGGATTTAAAAATCATTCTGCATAGACTTCAAAATCTTCTCTCTTCCATCCCTTTTCGCTTACTCATTAAACAAATTTTCATCAATTTTACTATGTCAGGGACATTGCTGAGACTCTGGGGGACATATGGATAAATAATTAATCAATTATGTTCTCCAAGGTATTCACAATCTTATGAGGTCCAGAGGCACAGAAACAAAGCCAGCTCACAATAGGAAAAGCTACGGAGGAGCTACAAACAAGCAGCAGAGGGAGCACATTTAGAGACCAACTGTGGGGGACTTAGGGGAAGTTTGCCATAGACGTTACTTTGGATGGGTAGATTTTTCTAGATTTACCAGAATGAAGGAAGGTCATTCCAAAGAAAGAAGAGAGCACATGTGTAATTTGCAATGCCAGGAAATAATGAATGCAAAGTTTTAATTCAATGATTCATTTGCTCATCCCTAAATATTGATTGTGTTGCCTTTTTTGTGGAAAGCATAGTACCAGATGGTGGCGATGTCATGTAAATGTAGGTTCCTCACCCTTGTGGAGCTTTCTTTCTATCAAGCAATTTCCTCAATGGGGAACAGTTCTGCCACCTTAGTCGATATTTGGAAATGCAAGGTTGGTTGTCACAGTAACCGGGATACACTATTGGCATTAATGTCTGATTACAAGGGATGCTAAATATACTACAAGATATTTAAGATTTCTACATAACCAAGAAGCATCTTCACCCAGAGGCCAAGAGTGCCTCTGTTCAGGAATGCTGGAAGTAGCAGAAGTTGCTCACACACACACACACACACACACACACACACACACAGGCACACAGGCACACAGGCACACAGGCACATACACATATGCACACACAGAAAGAGCTGTGCGCACAGAAATGCTCTTACATTCCCAATTTAGTCAGCCAAGGAGAGAGAACTTTCCAGAAGCAGATTCAGCATATCATCTTGAGTTGTCCTTCTGTCCACTATGTATTGCTGCCAGTGACAATTTTCTTGAGTGTGGTTCACATTCTTGGGGCATGAATCACCATTCTGGAACAGCTGACAGTAATATACTATCACCTTCCCTTAAAAGATGTTCACAAATGTCAGGTTCTTGTGGTTCTTGAAGAAATGCCTCAGCTTCTGCACAGCCACATGCTTATGAAGCAGAACGCAGAGACAATACCCAGTTTTCCTGGAATCTCTCTCTTCTTCCAACTTTTCTGTGTCCTCAGCCCATCTTCCTTTACAACCAAGAAGAAACTAGAATTGTGAAGCTCCTTGTGTTCAAAGGTTAGGATTTAAAACTTGTGTCCTAAGAGCATTGGAAAGCCATTGAAGGCTTTAAAAAAGGATATCTTAAAGAATTTGAAAGTTTTTCAAAATGGAGGAATTATAGAAAGGGAAGAACTGTAGTAGGGAGCCCAGCAGGAACTATGATGTCCTTCTAGGTGTGAGATGAGGAGGCTGGAACTATTGTTTTAGCAGCATCTGAGAGAATGGATTATAAACTAATTTCAGAAGAAAAAGAATTAGGCTCAGATGATGATGGTCAAGTGAGAGAGAGCAATCAAAATTTACTTGGAGATGAGAATTGTGTCAGCCTCTGTTTATAAATAAATTCAATTCTTGAGATGTATATATTCTCCCCATTTATAGATGAGGAAACAGAATGTCAAAGCACCTGGGTAACTGATGATTGTATTCATTAATATGCATAATGTGACTCATTTTCTTTACTAGGTGTTGAGTCTCCAAAGATGGGCTAATGAGTTGGAAGTCACACATATTCATTCTCTACTTCTGTTGCTTGGTTCCTGGACTTGTGCATTCCACCTGGTAATGACAGAGAACCATATAATGGTCATTGATTAGGAATATTGGGTTAATTATCCTAGATTATCCAAGTGGATAATCCAGGATAATCTCTGCTTCTCAAAGTCCCTTTTACCACATAAGGTAAAATAGTCACAGGTTCCAGGGATTTGGATGTGGGCATCTGTGTATGTGTGGTGGAGTGGAATCATCACTCTGCTATCAAGAGCTGTATCCTGCGTTCTGGAGAATAGCCCACATTCTTGGAAGATGTCATTCTAAGTAGTTTCCTCAGTAGTATCTTGTACTAGCCTTTCCATAGCCCTATCTCAGATTGGCAGGCTCTGGTGGGGCAGTATGTGATAGGGCAATGGGTCTGATGACCAGCTCAGGTCAGTTGGCTAAACTGTTTGTTCAATAAATGCCTTTTACATTGCAGATATTCCTAAAAGTTCATTTACACAACTTGTCCAAAGAAGTTCTTGATTTACTTCCAATCACAATTGTCCAAAAGTCTATATAATATTTTTTTTTAACCTTAAACCATCTCTTTGCCTACATAAAATAGCTGGCCAGGTGTT